TCTTTGCTGCATACCCTTTGTGGGGTGAGGGGAGGGACACAGCAACAAGCAAGAATCAGCAGGCTGGATTACCCTCCAGGGCCAGCCCCTGACAAGGTCCCCAGCACCTGGACTGCCCCTGGCCATGCCCAATTGTCACTTACTGCAGTTCACCAGAGGCTCTGTCCCACCATAGAGCTGGATCCTCAGTACAATATGTGCCCGTGGAAAGTGAGGGTAAGTGGGGAAAGTGGCAAGGGGTGGGGCTGAGTCAACCAGCCAAACACTACCATCCTCAGGAAGCCACCCTACTTCCCAAGGCAGGTGGCTTTGTGCCTGCCAGAGGTGCTGGCAGGCAGCGCAGCTCTGCCCACCGTCTCCCTCCATGGCTTAGGGACCCCTTCTCACTTGCCAAGGCCCTTCCAACTGAGAACCAGAAGTCTTTCTCCTCCCACCGACTCCAGGACTCCCCGCTGAGGATCTGCCTCAGCCATAGGCCTGGATGGGCAGCAGCACCTGGGCGGGCTGAGGGAGCAACTTAGTTTTAGTATATTTGGGAAACAAAGCAAAGAGAGACACTATTGCCTTCCTGATGCAAAAATCAGAAAGTAAACTTCCAAAAGGATCTTGGCTGGTGATAAAGATGCACACTCTCCTGCAGGGCCCTCTCTACCCTGCCCTGAGATAGGATTTCTGGGAGCTGATGCAGTGATTTGTGGTTATGAAAAGGGAATCTTGGCTTTTAAAGACTGAAAAGCATGGATCTAGAGGAAAGTCACAACCATTGTAGAGCTGTTTTCTTAAGTGAACTCTCTGTCTTCTTTCCATAAGTGGCAAGGTAACAAGAAGGGTCTGGTAGGTACCTTGGGCGGTGTGTCCCAGGTCCTAGAAAGGCACATAAAGTTAGCAAAAGGCAGTCGGTGCTGCAGTTGGACAGGTCTGGGTTCAAATCCTGGCTTTGTCCTTAGTAGCTGTGATCTGGACTAGTCACTTCCTGAGACTTTTCTCATTTCATAAAATGAAACTATCACCTGTCACACATTGAAAATCTAATGAAAAATGCCCTGAACAGTGCCTGGAATATAGGAGGTGCCCAAAATGCTAGTGCCCACACCTCAACAGCTGCATCCGCCCCAGGCCACATACGGAGTCTGGAGGAGAATGCATCATGTTCAAGGCTCTGCCTCCTAAT